ACGAATGCGAAGCTGCAGCCGTCGCTATAAATGCTAGAAACTCACGGCAAACACTTTCTGCGGATCTTCGAGTTACCCTTTTGCATACGGTATATATTCAGCGATATCAAAACAAATGTTCGTGCGTGCAATTCTAGCTTTAGATACAATCTGACTACATACCCTGTGACCCATTCCACCGCTTCACCATTCGCGATGGCAAACTCCTGGGCATCCTTCAACGATTGCGGTAGCGATAGCCGTGGCTCAAAGGACAAGTGGTGCACACTCGGCGGCTTAGGCTCTGCACGGCGAAGACATTCATACTTAGTGTACTGACCCATACATGCAACAATATGTATGTTATTAAGTGCAGCTGCAGTTAAAGTGTGTATGAGTAATATTGTCTCACTTCTGAACCAGTTTCAAACAATCTGTATTGGCTTAACGAGTAGTGTTTTGGGTTTGATATGCATACTACACGCCGCAAAGACGATATATATATCAAGCAATAACTTAACAGTGATGTGATGGATTCTGATATACTTACCCCAAACATCGGTCAGTGGTCCTTTTGTATTTCCTCCTTGTGCTGCAACAGCCCTTTGGATCTGATTTATAGAGAGTGAGTAAGGATTATGTTGAACTTTTCAAATCATATATCGTTCAATTGTTGGCTACTATTTCGTTTTCAAATTAACGAAAATCATCAAACGAGGTGCGTGGCGTGATAAACTATGAGAACCTTACGCAGACAAGGGCAAGTTTTCGTCTAGTTCTTCGCAGTATAAGTACCGATTACCTTGTCAATCAAGTTTGTGTATTGCCGAAAGGCCACATTTCCTTTGCCGACATGGACTTTCTCATCTTCCACAGGTCGATGGATATACTGTAGCACTGGCGACACGGCTTGGTGGGTGAGTGAACTCAGAACAGACGCCCATCTATGTGTATTAATGGGAACACGCGAGAACAAATGAGTACGTCTATGAAGTGTACATTGCGTATGTAGCTGCAGAGATGAAGTAAAACATTCTCACATCTCACAGCTTGTGGGTTTGTGAAATAAGATTTGCCAACCTGTGTCGCTGCGCACTTAGCCCACATTCGAATAAGCATACCATCGATATGTAATTTTGAGTAAAAAAAAAAGTCTGTATGTGGCTAATGATGGCGCACTATCTTCTAAGTATGAATGTGATGGATTTAATGAATGAAGAGTGTACCAATCATTCACTTCATTAACTCACAAGATAAGAAAATCAAATAGCGCCATCCAAGAGATCGAGAAAATGTACAGGACTACAGTGGACTGCACACACAAGATGAAAGCTACACGGCTATGGTGCTCAACACACAAACACACGAAGGCTTCACCCGAGTATGCCGACCAGTATAAATTCAATTTTGGGGAACTTCGAAATTCATATATAACTTTGCACCATATCCGACACTTGTCACCGAACGATAGGTGGGATAGGAGGACTGTCAATATCAGTGGTGCACGCACCCATTCACTGTGAAGTCATTCTCTGAGCACCACAGATGCGTGAGTGTTCTATTCTTGTCCAGTGCCACCGCTAGATCGTATGCCAGTGCATCTCCCACGGCATTATCGCGTATGTCTAGGTGTGTGATAGTCTTGCACTCGCCCAGGGCCCGCATGCAGCCGATCAGAGCCTTGCAGAAGCCTCCTCTCAGCGACAGGCGGCGCAGGTTGGGACAATTACCCATGAGTATTTCTGCGCGATGGATCAAAAGTATAGGTGAGGTCATATTGGGAGAGCTGTTCGACGCACTGAGACTACAAGCAGACATAACCTTGAGGCTTTATTTCTTATCTAAGATCGTTAGAACAACACACATGTATTGTATTGTGGTGGATTAAAAAGCACGCAAGCTCAATCTCGAACTTGCAGTCGTTTCAATTTTTCTCTCGTGCATGCCACCAGAACTCTTTCAAATTCTGGGTCGTTCTGTGTGGCGTGCATGCGTGCAACATACCTAAAGAGATTGCCAGAGGTGCATCCGCCCCCTTTTTCGTACTGGCGGTATATCCACTGGTGCCTCCGCCGGAACCAGACGTTTCTGCATGAACATTGAATTTTTTCGATGAGTCCTGAGGATTCAAGCTCATATCGGATCGAGGTGGTATTCACCATACCGTGATGTAAGTACACAATTTCAGAACCATAACACTTATTACATTCCATCTAAGGAGTGGATCACTATTTTGTCGTTGCAGATAGAACTAGACATGACTAATATTAATTGTACCTTTGCAGCATCCATCCAACACCAGAGTCACCAAATTCTTGCATGTGCTGGCCACATCGTTGAGGAGCACTGCCAGGTCTACCTCACTGAACTGGCATCCCGAGAGATCTATGTGTTTGAGCAGGTGCGTGTCCACACCTACGTGCACGTTTAGGATTTTCAGATACTTGAACGACTGCATCGTGATTGTACAAGAATGTAGCTGCACCCTATACTGTCTGTGTGAGAGCATATTTCGCACCCAGCTGATAATAAACTATTCACTCTTGTAGGAAATGAGCGGCGCATTATGCACAAACCTGACTAGAGTATACAGAACGCAAACATGAAACCTCGAGCGTACGGAAACCGACGTTATTAAGTTGCAGCAAATATCCGATGAATAGAAGACTCTCGTTGGCGACAACACTTCACGAATCTCGATGGGCTATGAAGATTAACCCACATACCCTGGAGTGTAGACACAAGCTGCCGTCCATCCGCTACACCAGTCAATCTGAGAGTTGAAATCAAAACGTGAGCATACTTTAGGTCCCAATCATTTCTGTATTTTGCATCTACCTATGTGTAGCTATTCCTTATGAGGTGCATAGGTTGATAAATCACACACGAACAGCAATACGGCAGGTGAATTCGACAGCTTCCTCATAATAATACCGAAGTGTGGCCTCAGTGATGCGTGGATTTCGCAGGAAAGCTCTAATCAAAGGCATAATGTTGTCTTCTTTGCCTGACCCGTCAGCTGTGCTTTTTGTACCGTCCGACGACAACCCCAGAACACTGATCGTATTAGATTTGGTCAACGTCTCTTTCTGTTGATAAATATAAGAAGGTTTTATAGATTTTAAGTTTTGTCAATGGATTTTGAATTATAAACTCGTAGTAGAGAAAGTATTTTACGACTTGCACTCAACTAATTGGCTTCATTCTAAAGATTATATAATGGAAGTATGAGTGGGGTTACACAGAGTGACAGAGTGTTTTCAGTCAGGTCGATGATATTGCAAGAAAGAGAAATTATGTTTGCAGTATGAGCTATTCCGGTACTTATCTACCCAATTACTGTACTTGCAATGAACTATGGAGCGGCCTTTGGTGGGACAATATAAATTCGCACGGCCTTATAGCCGATAGAGGTACGTTCTTATAGTATCATTTATGTAAACGGAGTGCACAATTTGGGATTCTGTAGAATCTGAGTTTTAATTCCTAGACTAGATTGAGGGTAAAAATCGTAACTTCAGGCTTTGGTGTTGTTCCTATACTTGGGTCGTCTACCTCTACACATCTCTGTTGCTTCAGTTGCAAGCCAAGATTCACTCAGATCATTCATCATAGAGAACCCTTTCAATGACGCAAATATATTACTCAAGAGTCCAGACAACGCGTCCTAAAGCCTATATAAAAATAAACTTTTAAATTAAGTAAATGAACTTACCAGAGTGTATAGTCTATCTTCAGTCATCTTTCTGCTGCATCCACGAGCGTCGAAGTTTTTGAGACATCCCAAATCCCACAGCCCTTGCGCGATGGTGTGCATGTTAATATCTGTATTCTCCATCTCGAGGACCTATAAGAATGACAATTACATGCGCATGAGAAATATCCTGCACCGCAGTCTCATATTTCTGTAGCAGTAGCGCCGATGAGTTATAATCGCCTGCAGTTATTTCGATAAATACCATTCGTTAATCATAAATAGTTAATGGTATATGCTTTGAAATGTTACCCAACTGAGAGCGTGTTCTGACACACCTGTAGCGCTGCAGAGGTATTTGCAGCGGACATCCATTGCTGAAGCGCACTAGACCCGAGATCACCTGCATAGTAGTACGAACACACCGCAAAATAAGCATCACGAGTACACTAATGGTTACAATTGAGATCTGCAGTTGTGGTACACAATCCACGCGCTTCTGACTTTCTTCGCCTGGACAGACCGATAACGGAACAAAAAAAACCACAGCACCAGAGGAGAACGCTTTCTTTGTTGAAAACAAAAAGTCGACCTTTTTTGTTTAAAATGCTTAGAGATTACATGAAGGTCAATGAATAACTTTGAACTCCCTACAAGTACGAGTGATCTTTTTCAAATATTGCTGGAGAAATAAAGTGTCACGAATACGCCTCGAATTTGATAGTATACACCCTGAAAGCTTCTAAGTCTAGTAGGATATGTCATAGTCAAAGTGTACATATTGACAACAAAGCAAAGTAACCCAAGTATACCAAGAATACTGTACCAAGAATATTGTCCGAAAGCGTCAGTTGCTTAATAGTGGCTGATGCACCCAGATTGCACCTCATCGCATGGCAGAATGAAAGCATTTTCTTATCATCTATTCCGCTCGCAGCGAAATCGAGTGCTTTAATACCATATGGCCATACTTTGATTGCCTCACACAATCCGGCCACTGAATGAGCGCCCAACTGCAGCGTAAATAAAATTAGCCGACATGTGAGCAGAGTTGTGCGGCATATACCAGATCTAGTATGTGCACTTTCCTTCTTCGGTATCAGGTATGCACTGTTTTCTAATTCATATTATAGATCTATACTTCCTCCGCAGACTTGGGTAGAAACTTTACATCGCACACGCTACACACGGCACGCACACGAACGAAACAAGCAGCCGGATGCAAATATCACATCATAGCAATTCAATCGCATGTTCCTTAAGGTCAAAATATCTGCATGCGGCACCCCTGGTCTCGAAAAATCGAATGCCAACTAGTAGCACGTCTACTGTAACGTAATTTCGCAGATTGAGAATACCTGCCCTACATATACACATTGTACGAAGTACTCGCATACAGTAGCCACGTCACCATCTCTCCACAAGCTGTACTTCCATTATTGGACATACCTTACTCCCGGCAAGACAGAGGTCGTTCACCATGTGCTGTGTGTTGGTCTTTAGTCCATTGAAAAAAGTGGCCCAGCTACATCCGCTGTTGCGCATTTCAATTTTCTCCAACTGAAGTGTCCATGTAGAACGCAAATGATGGACTTCGTTATTCCCAGCGGGCGTAAACACTTATGATAGTAAAATTTTTATCGATCAATGCACATCACATAGATCCATAAAACAATTCAATAACAATAAAGCATCCTGCTAGGAAAGGGGCTATGGCAGCAACAACCGAAATTATATTAATGTGTGGAATAGTCGCGGCTTCTCCAAGTGCCTTGATCGATTCTTGACAGTAAACTCATACATTTACCACAGGTAATTCATTCATGTTGTACAAGACCAGCAGCGCTTATCAATCTCAGGGCCTTGTCGTGGCCCACGTCCACCCGATCCCAAATAAACGGCGTGCCAGAAGTATCAATAAAATGCAATACTATACAAAGTCAATGTGTGCCATAGAGTTGTGCACATACTCTAGTGTTCGTAGTCACGACTTGCGCCATAATGGAAGCAAGATTCCTGTCCATCATCGAGGCTTCGAGAGCAACCACCCCTTCAAAGAATGTGTTGTATCGCAGAGCCAGTAGAATGGGTTCTAGCGGCACACAGTCTGGGGAAGCAGCATCTAGCACCCCAGGCATCTGATTAGTGGAGGTATTGATAGAATATAACCTTTTAGTCCAGAGCGATAATGCAACTGATCAAAAACGACTGGCTTTGGTCTAATCAATGTAGATACAATAAGCATGCGTCAAAATCAATTTATAACAAGATGAATTCGACTACTCCAAATTAAAACAGTGTACAGCTCTGACTTTGTAAGACTCAAAAATATTCCCATAATATCGAGCGCATTCACAGACCTCATCCAGTGTCACTTCGGTCAGCCCTAAGCGGTAAATACCGTCTATATATCGGTGAACATTCGGGTGAGGCTTCAGCCCCAGCCAATCGCAATGAGCTTCGTACGTCTCTATGTAATGGCCACATTTCTGAGGCTTAAATTTGCCAAGAGGCAAAAGCACTGCATCACGCTGCACTACACGAATAATAAGGACGTCGTCGAATCCGTATAGACTATCACGGATTCCCTATTGACGAGGTGAAAGTGTGGGGTCAGGACGCTATCAGGGTCGTACAAGCTTCTGTGCACCGAACGAGCTTTTTATGTGGGGGAAATGACTTTGATATTGAATTGTAATCGTGTATGAAAGCCAATCAAAGGTCATAAAGGAAAAGTGGTAGCGTGTCAAATGTCTATCCGCACTGTGATACAGTCATCAAGCTCAATAGATGAAATAAACAGGAAAATATGACTGAGTTTCTTCCATCGATATTTTGTTGCAAGAATAAAGGCACCGTCGATATTTTTTGCAAGGATAAAAAGGTAATTCATCGCTTTGTCAGGTTTCACGATTTGGTAGTTGTACACATTCTCCGTGATGTTCACATTGTTTATGTTGCACATAACCTTAAACAAAAAGAGACCATTCGTTTGTGCTATCTCCTACCTCGCGTATCGCACGCAGAATAAGCGGTATATCAAAGCTTCGAACGAGGGTGTTTTTCTCAGTCTTGCCCCTATCCAGCTTATAGAAAATCTGCATGGTGGTCGGATCATTCGTGGCCATGTCGTATATGTCATAGAAGTGGATGACTTTGACGACCTGTTAAATTGGAAGGGTACGGAAAACGGTCGTGATCGTGAGCACATAGCGCGCCAATGCCCAGATGAAATAAACCGTTCTGTGTGTGCTTGTATGTTCGAACCCGGTTAATTCAACCCCGGAAGAAGGCCAGTTCAACAGATGTCTTTGTTTGGGATGTTCATGCAAAACCCAACATGAACAGGAATCGCGTTCATCATATACTTTAGCGCGGCGTAGCATTGGTGCATTAGTATAAGCACAATTTAATGGCACGTGCGCAACACTAATATACACATGCTTAACCGTTGCCTAAAACAAAACTTTCAACTCTATTTCATACCGCCCGACCAGCCATGGCCTTTTTTCCAATCTGCCAGACACGGAAGCGGCCCACAACAATCAATCTCTTCTCTCCTTTGGAGTACCCGTCTTTCTGTTCCTTGACAGACTGAACAAGAATCAAGTAGAAATGTGTTTTTACCACAGATGAGATGCAAATTTCCAAAATTGAGAAAGCAGTCGAAAAATTATCAGCAATGCATACATTTACGTTAACTACATAAAAATACGTTCGTTAGTATATAAAAGAGTAATCCATTTATACACAAGTATATATATATATATAGATATATATATATATATATATATATATAGTGTGTGTGTGTGTGTGTGTGTGTGTGT